AAAAAAGAATAAAGAAAGGTCTTTCTTTCCACTCAATTCTGAAGGATGATATTTCTGTGTACAGCACTCTTGCCTGGTGGTTCTTTTAGAACGATGAGTATGCTATTCCTCCACCCCTGCACCCCCGCTTCTGGTTTGTGGAGAAGTTCTCTGTTAGCCTCCTGCGGATTTCCTCCTACAGGTCCCCAAGAGAAAAGTCCCTTTTCTCCTGATGCCTTTAAAACTGTTGGCAATCTGATCATAGCATGTCTTAGAGTCTCCTGTGAGTTACCCCTTCTTGGGATCCTTCAACTCTCATAGTTCTGGATCTACATCTCTCCAAAGATTTGGGGAAATTTATCCACTATTTCTTTAAGGTAGCTTTTTGCTCCCTTTTCCCGCTCTTCTCTTTCTAGCACTCCCACGCTCACATAGTTATATGCTTGATGGTGTTCCATAATCGCTTATGCTTTCTTAGTTCTTTTTTTCCTTTTTTTTTCTCTTATAACTGGATACTTTCAAATGCTGTGTCTTGGAGTTCACTAGTTTTTCTTTTGCGTGACTGAGTTTGATGTTGGGATTGGGTCTTTCATTTCTGTCCTTGTGTTTTGAGGTAAGTCCATCAGAGAACACACACAAACTTTCATGAAGCTGAAAAGAAAGTCTTTATTGCTGACTGGTGGCTGCATGGGGAACGTGCCCAAATCATGCAGCCCTATCCTCACAGTTCTTTGTATTTTATGCACAAAACACATCCTGGTTGACACCCTTTGGTTAGCAAGAGTAGTTAGGGTGAATCAAAACTATAGAAGTCAAAGGCAAGGTTAGTACATGTGGGGACTTTCCTGGATCCTTGGACTATGGACCAGTCTTTGACAGATGAGGTCTTTGTTCCCATTTTTGCAGGTGTTAGGGCCTACATGCTGGGCTCGAAGGTCAGATTGGTGCCTCTAAATGTGGCATCAGTTGTGCTAAGATCTGGAGCCTGTTAAATTTCTATGCTCAGCTCCTGGGTTTTTCTTTTGTTCCTTTTCATTATTCCTTTTTAATTATTAAGCTTTTTATTTTGTTTATAAATTGTTGTCCCAATTTTTTTAGTTGCTTATCTCTGGATTTTAAAAATATTCTATTTTATTGTTTCTTTAAGGTGATTATTTGAATTCTTATTCAGGGTGTTCATTGATCTCCATTTCTCTGGAGCTTTATGTATCCATTTCCTAGTGTTGTCCTTGCCTGATCATTATCTGTGTAAACTTACATTAGTGTCTGCACACATAAAAGAATATTTATAAGTTTCAATATTTGCACATGGGCAAGACCTTACCCTATTGCACCCCAGGGCTCAGAGGATTGCCTCTGAATTTGTGGCTGAATGGAATTGGAACTGGATTCCATGACTGCTTTGGGGTCTGTAATGTGATCTGCATTTGGTGGTTCTATTAGCAGGGTCTCAAGGAGATGTGAGTGTCTTTGGGTAGACTGACTAGACCCTGGGACCCTTGGTCAACAGAATTGATGCTTTAGAGTTCACGGATTATAGACTTGTTGCTAACAGATATGTTTTTGAGGGTCCCTATAAAGGCCCTTCTGGGCCACTGAGTAGTTAGTTCTCTGAGAATACAATACCAGCACTGAATACAGAATAGAAGAGTTGGAACTGAATCATGGCTGCTTTGGGGTTCATAGCAGAAGATGGGATACAAACCTGCATCTATAGGCATGTCTCTCTGTGAGTCACTGGATACTTAGACTGTAGCTCATAGGTGCTGGCACTGAATTGCAGTGTTATTCCAGCATCCAGTGTTATTCCAGGCAGAACGTATGTGATTGAGTCTGTCCTGCCTGCATCCCTGGTATGTGGTTCTGGTAGCAGAATCAAACCAAATGAAGGTATAGCCCAGTTCAGAGGGCACAGAAATGCTTTCGGCATTTGGCCAGAAATGCTTCTGGACTTATGACAACATTAGTGAGTCTGCCACTGAACATGTCTACCCTTTTGAAACAGTCCTCCTAGGTTTAGACTCTATCAGGGTTTCACTTCCTACCAGTATCCCATAGCTTTGCTATAGCACATTAATTGCTGTGGGGAGACAAGTCTGGGGCACTTCTATTATCTGGTGTCTTGATCTAATTTTTCTCTTTTACACAGACTATAAGATCATTTGTTGAGGTCAAAAAGGAAAACAGGGTTTTAAGGAGACTGGAGATTTTAAATAAGGAGCAATTTTTAAAAGGGATTTAACAAGCTTACTATATAACCCTAGCACTGAGGGGTTAGTATGCATGAATTTGTAATGGTACCATTTTCTCTCAGATGTGGAGAAGGCAACCACAGGAGTTATCACAATAACTGTCTTTCTACTTGGGTATAATGGGGAGGGGGTAGAGAATGACATAGGAGTTTAGGGACATGTCAACAAAGTGATAATAAAGCTGGGTTATGAATTTTTGCTCACTTGGGAAGAGAAAGATAAAATGGTATTTGATGGATATGGGCCATCTGGGAAAGAATAAATGCCAGAGAGGCCAATGGAGCTGAAAAACGGCTATGTTTGGGATTGTCCAACAAGCCAGCTCTGAAGTCAGGGGAATGATGCTTGATTTAGTGACCTGGGAGGCTGGGAAGTTTTGATAGTGTGTTCTAGAGTAAGACTGTGGAAGGGGGAGACTAGAAGAGAAGGTAACAGAGGTGGAGGTCAGTGTATTGGGTACCTTACCCATCAGACACTGGAGTCTCATGGGGATGTGCTAAGAACTGAGTGGGAAGGGAAGGCAGGGTCAACATCTTTACTGAAGGAAAAGCCAGGGGATGTAGCAATGGGTTTGTGCAACAGGTAAACAGCATGAGCCTCAAAGGAGGACAAACTAGAGGGGACACAGCACTGGGAAGTTGTATGTATGTATATGTTTACGTAACAATTCCAATCTAAAAAGCAGAGGCCATGAATTAGATCTTAAAAAATAGTATAGGACGTAAGTCTTAACATAGCACTGGCAATTGATAGAGGTGTTATTTCTAGCTAAGGACAAAGGAGAAGACTGGGAGAGAGGGAGAAGAGAGGGGAGGAGAGAGATGGAGCGGGGAAGAGGGAGAGAGAGAGACATGGAGAGAAACAGAGAAAGAGAGATGGGAGAGAGAGAGGGAGAGAGCACATGCAGATTTCAGCTTAAGCTTGTGGGTGGGGTAGTGTCAACAGTATGTAGACATCTTGTGTTTTCCAGCACCATCAGGATTAAGTGAAGGTTCAGCTAATATTTGCCAGCACCGTCAGGTCCTTTGCTCCTTTCCTGCCTCTTTCCTAACATCTGTCCACTTATCTACCCATTTTCCCCCAGTAAGTCAAGAGCTAGATGGAATGGCAATGTGATTACGGCATTAAGTATTAACCTTTGGCAGAGAATTGGGTGGTAAGGACTGTTAAAACCACCTTGTAAATCGTTTTAAAGCCTACCTCAAGATTTAGCATTATAATTACTCATTGGCTCCAAATAGAGGTTCATATCAACCTAGAGAGCATCTTCTAGGAGATGAGTTCAAGGACAATTTAACCTATTGAGTAATAAGGTTAAAAATGCTTAATTGTGCATTGTTCCATTTTAAACTGGTTATATATTGTTCTCAACATACCTTAGTTATATTTCTAATAAAGCCATTTACTGTTTTATTTATTCACGGTCTGCTAAAATTGACCTAAACAGAAGGCCTGTTCTTATCTCACTCAGCACAGGTAGAGTTGTGGTGGTTATAGTATAGTATAGTATAGTATAGTATAGTATAGTATAGTATAGTATAGATAATAACAACTGCCATAGCACTAAAGAAAGCGTTTCTTTGATCTGCAATATCTAGTCATTTGACATTTTCAACCAAAATTTTAATTATATATTGTGATATTTTTATTTGCTGCAATACATTAATTGTCAGAGGTACTTTGGACCTCAAAAGCTAGGATTTCTAAGTCACTATGGGCATTTCACATAATGAGCTGTTAGTGGTGAGTGAGGTGCTATGTACTACCTAGATTTTTCACATCTGTATAGTATATTACATGTATTTTGTGGTATTGAAGTTCTAGAAAGTTTAGAGTGTCCAACATGCATTTAAGGTGTATTTTTATATTTTTGGTTGTGAGCCTAGCCTTTAACGGCTGAGCCATCTCTCCAGCCCTAAGGTGTATTTTTAAACAAATATATGGCAATTAAAATATTTAGAGTTGCAGGTATCACATTTCACTTTGCAGTCTTTTCAACCATGCTATCATTAAGATGCTTTATATAATGCCAGACCACAGCAAGCTGGAGAAATTAATAAATATCAGATATACTTTCCATTAAAGGAAAGTGTGTGTGTGTGTGTGTGTGTGTGTGTGTGTGTTAGTGAGAGCAGAAAAATGGCACGCAGTATATATGTAACTAATGTAAAAATACAACATATATATGCTAATTGACTTAGTGCTTTCAAAGATCGGAGGAGGCCTAAGAGACGGAAGTTTTTAAAGGATGGAAAAAAACGAGAAACCTTCTTAATTCCTCCTTGTCATTCTTAAATGTCAAGCTGGGAGCAGGTGCAATAAACAAGTGTCTGAACATCTGTAGACAACAAAGACCACATGTCTCTACATCCTGATGACTGTGAAATGGAGAGCCTGTTATTTCAAGAAATCCTAACCCCGGCTTACTGATTCTGTCATTATAGTGAAGGATTTGCATTAAATATTTTTGACAGTATTTAAAGACATTTTTTAAATCTTTACTCTGATTGTATGCATGTAATTACTATTTTAATTTATTCATACTCCATCTTTCATGAAGGAGATCAATAATCTCATTAACAGAGGCCAGCTGACGGGCCAAGCAAGGCTCCTTGTGCATGCCATGGCATGCCTTTAGGCTTCACCCTCTTCCCACAGGCATGGGTGGCACTTATGGGGCTTGGCCTGCTACCCTCTATCATGTTTAACCTCAGTGACTATGCACTTTGACATAAACTTAAGCAAAATGTTTCTCTCTCTTTTTCTCTTCTTCATGTGTACACGAAAACCAACTGGCATGGAGAAGGGGAACAAAGAGACTTACGAGTTCTTGGCAGATAAATTTTTTATCTCCAAAAGTCATGAGTACAAAACAGAGTGACAAAGATCTTCACATTTTGCTCATCTCTTGGTCACTTTCCTGCATTTGGATGAATTACTCTTCGCTTATAATTTTGGTGTGAACCTCCCGGCTCTTCACCCGCAGTTTGTTGACCTGGGACTCGGCGATGTCAGCCCGCTCCTCGGCTTCCTCCAGCTCGTGCTGGATCTTGCGGAACTTGGCCAGGTTGACATTGGATTGTTCCTCCTGTGAACGGGAATGCATTTATGAGGGAAAAAATGTTTCCATTTCTAGGCTCTTGTGTCAGTGTGTCTTGAGTGTCTTTTTGCTTAAAACCAATACACTCCAGCAAATTTTCAAAGAAGTCTAGAGAAGTGTGTGAATTTTTTTCTTCTATTAACTCCCCTTATGCTTTTTGAACTCATCGATAAACACAGGTAACGCTGTCTCTGAACTTTTGGAAAAGCTGAAGCTACTGTAACTTTGCCACATTCCAGGCTTTGTTGCCATTGCTGTTAAGGCTCTTGAGGATGGACCAGACTCCAACAAGCAATCTCTATAACACCAAACTGAATATAAATTATTGCCACTTGTCTTAAATTATCTCTCACTTAATAAAGTTCAGATATTAAACATGTTTATTATTCTCTAAAATAGTCTGAGTGGTCTCTGATTATGCCTGTAGGTACAGCAATGAATTTGGAAAGGCCAGTTTTAATTTAGTCTCCAGTAATCATTCTTTTTTAAAACATCTCATTAAGAACTCTCGCAAAATGTGACATTCAGCTTAAGAACATTTATGGAGCTTAGAATCACTTTAAATAGGGTAGCTCAGAAAAGTCCTTGCATCTCCCTCTCACAGAAGAAGAAAGTAAGAGCTGGAGTGAAGAAAAGCTAAGTGGCTTCCCAGGGTGTGGGTGCGAGGTGCACATGTGGGCATATCTGCTCTCTCGTCTTCCTTTGCTGCCCCCTCCCCTTTCTCTTCCTCTCAGAGCTAAGAGGTCAGGGGGTAAACAAAAGCCACCAGTGGACAGAGGACCTCATGTGCAACGTGTGAATACACACATCCACAGAGAAGCTAGTGACACTTGACTCCTTCAGATGACATAGTGCTGCTGTCACCTACTGGTTGAAACATTCCTGAGCTTTCTGGCCTCCATTACTATGAGACTTCGGCTGCTTATTGGATCTCTCCACTGTGTATATGACAATGCCTTGCGTTTAATGTAACTAAAGTAGAATTCCTGTTTGCTTCTCACCCTGATCATCTGGTCCCCTTAGGTTTCCATTTCATTAACACTTACATCACCTACCTGGCTGCTCACACCACAACTTGATGGATTGATTACTCCTGCTTTGCTTCCTTTTACCTCCAAGGGCAGCCTACTGGCAAATCCTACTCTATCTCCAGGACCAGTTCTGAATCTCATAAATTCTTTCTGTTTAATTCCTGCCGGAATGCAAGTCACAGACTCACCTGGAAACTTTCCCAACATGTCTTCCTACATTTACTTGGGTTATCCAGCAATCTTTTCTCTACGTTGTAGCAAGGACACCCTTTTGAAAACATAAAGCAGGCCACACCTGGCCTGGATGGGAACACCACCCCTTCCTTCTGTGGCCTGACTGTACTTATTTTAAGATGAAGGCTTCTTACCAGGGCCCAGAAGACCTTGTGACCTGCCTTCTGCCTGGTTCTCTAGCCCCAGGTGCACTGTTCTCCTCCTCCATTTTTTTTTTTGTTTTTGTTTCTTGAACCAGACTCCTTACATTGCTCCTCCTCCTCTCTAGAGTACTATGGGGACTATATTTTGATTGGTTGAGTCTGATGCTTACAACTGGACACAGGGCCTCAGAGATGCCAAGTCCACCTTCTACCCCCAGCTGTACCCCCATCCTCATTCTCCCTAGGACATTTTTCTCTGGCTTATGAAGTGCCAGTTGCATCACGTTCTTAGACCCTTGCTAGGTCATTTCCCTTTGATTCTTCCTTGTCTTATCTTTTCATTTCAGTCCTGTAACTACTTTGGCCTCCTGTTGTCTGTGAGCCGGAGTCCACCCAGGCACGTCAGGGGTTCGGAACTCACCGCTTCTTCCGCCTGTCTCTTGTAGGCTTTCACCTTTGATTGTAGTTTGTCCACAAGGTCCTGGAGCCTAAGAACATTCTTGCGGTCTTCCTCAGTCTGAAAGAGTTTAACGTGTCAGTTTCTCGAAAGTTTCCCCTTGCTTTCTGTATATATGGTTCTTAATGTCTTGAAGACAGGGGTAGGAACCCAGAGAGGTCCTGCCCTTTCCTTACTTGGTAAGTGAGTTCCTTCACTCTCCTCTCGTGCTTGCGCAGACCCTTGATGGCTTCAACATTGCGTTTCTGTTCATTTTCAACTTCTCCTTCAAGTTCACGGACCTTCACAAAAAGGTGGATTTAAAAAAAATTATTTTTAGATTTGTTATTTTATTTTGTGTATGAATATTTGCCTGTATGTGTGTCTGTACACCACAGAGGTCAGAAGTGGGCATCAGGTGACCTGGAATTAAAGTTACAGACAGTTGTGAGTACTAGGAACTGAGCCTGGTCCCTATGCATGAGCACCAGGTGTTCTTGACCACTGAGCCATCTTTCCAGCCCCCAAAGGCAGATTTTAAAAAATATTTCCTATCGTCTAACCAGTCAATGAGTTTCCACTTCTCCAAGTGGCCCGTGGTTTGATTTGTAGTTCTTGATGTCTTAGTCAAAGTGTCCCAGACTGAACTGTCAGGCAACAGGGATTATCTGCCCTTCACCTCAGGATGCCCTACAATGTCTAGCACTCTTAGGTATTGAAAGTCACATGCTGGAATAGAAAGAGAAGAATGCATGTTGACCAGGAAACTCACCCTGGCCTCCAGTTTCTGGATCTGCTTCTTGCCACCCTTCAGCGCCAGCTGCTCAGCCTCGTCTAGGCGGTGCTGCAGGTCCTTCACCGTTTGCTCTAGGTTCTTCTTCATCCGCTCTAGGTGGGCGCTGGTGTCCTGCTCCTTCTTCAGCTCCTCTGCCATCATGGCAGCCTGGTGAGTGATAAGACAGAGTTGGATAAGGGCTGGCAAGGCCTGGCAGAATTCAGACTTGCCATCTCCATCTTGCCCTCTGCTCACATCAGTGATGGCTTTCTTGGCCTTCTCTTCTGCATTGCGGGCTTCCTGGACGATGTCCTCCATCTCTCCCTGGATTTGGGAAATGTCTGTCTCCAGCTTCTTCTTGGTGTTGATGAGGCTGGTGTTCTGTTTAAAATACCAAACACATAAATACTAAATGTTGAAGGACAAAGTTAGAATACCAGATGTCCAAATGAACTTGTAAACTAATTATTGACTAGCATCCCTCAGAGTTTCCATACATTAACTGAGTTAATAGCGTATTTTTAAAAGACAGTCAATTCTGCATGTCATAGATCAGATAAATGTTACCCCTTCCCAGTTAAACATGTTAAACCTAGTTCTTCATAAGAATATTATGGAAAATTTCCAAATATGATAAGATATGAGCAAGAATTTCCCCTTCATACTTGAATACCCACCTGGGTGTGCAGGAGCTGCACGCGTTCACTGGCATCCAGCAGCTCCTGCTCTGCAATCTTCCTGCTCCTCTCTGTCTGCTCCAGTGTGGCCCGCAGCTCCTCAATCTCAGCCTGCAGCAGGTTGGCTCTGCGCTCAACCATGGCCAGCTGTTCCTTCAGGTCCTCCTGGCCTCGGAGAGCATCATCCAGGTGCAGCTGGGTGTCCTGTGCAATAAACAATCAATGAGACACCATGTCCTCGGGCTGAGTCACCCCACTCATCTGGGGCCATCTCTTGGTGCCACCTACCTTGAGGATGCCCTGTGTGTTCCTGTAGTTTCTCAGGGCCTCAGCAGCCATGCGGTTGGAGTGGTTCAGCTGGATTTCCATCTCATTGAGGTCTCCCTCCATCTTCTTCTTGATCCTGATGGCGTCATTCCTGCTCCTGATCTCTGCATCCAGCGTGCTCTGCATGGACTCCACAACTCTAATGTGGTTTCTCTTGAGCTGGTCGATCTCCTCGTCCTTCTCGGCAATCTTCCTGTCAATCTCAGACTTGACTTGGTTCAGCTCCAACTGGATGCGCAGGATCTTTCCCTCTTCATGTTCCAGAGATGCCTTAAGGACAGCAAGAGGTGACATCAGCAGGAGAATGAAAGTGTGTAATGTCCTAGCAAAGTTAAACTAACCTTCCTCACTAGGTCCTGTCTGTGTACTACCATCATAACCCTTGTATGCATTTTTACTCTGTTGTGATGGAAATATCCGACATGTGTAATTGTTGTTTTTATAGTCTTCTATCTCCCCAGACCAATGATTCCCCTTAAGAGAGGACCCTCCTCTTACTCATCTTTGTTTTCTGTTTCTACCACAGTTCTTAATATGTACTTATGGTGCTTGTATTCATATTCATTCTTTATCTTCATTCTCAGTGGAGAAAACAAAGAATAATTTTTATTTCTTGATTCACCAATCCTTGCACCCTATAGAGCCTAATTCCTCTTGTAATTCTTGTAAAATGTACAATAGAATGTCTACCTCTGCTTCCTCTAAAGCAGCCTGGAGCTCGGATTTTTCCTGTTCAATTTGCTTCTTTATTTTTTCCAGTTCATGGATACGTTTCCCTCCTTCTGCGATCTGTTCCGTGAGATCAGAAATCTCCTCTGTTAGGGAAAAAATATAGGAATGTATATAGAGATGGAAAGCATTCTTTCAAATCTCTTGTTAAAGAAAATGTGAGATGCACTCACGTTGCAAATTCTTATTTTCCCGTTTCAAGGTTTCAAGATGGTCTAAGGATTCCTCATAAGCATTCTTAATCTTAAACAGCTCTGTGCTGAGAGAGCGGGCCTCCTTTTGAGAGGCTTCAAGCTCAGCGTGGGTTTCCTCATACTTCTGTTTCCATTCTGCCAGGATCTGAATAGCAAGGGATGAGAAAAAAAATGCAGCAGATAAAGTTTGATGGGGTAGAAGGCAGAAGCCATGCATTCTAGAAACTCTGAGTTTGATCTGAGTGATCCTGGATTGAAAAATAATTATGAAAGAGAAGAACTAATAAAGCTCGCTTGGGTCATCCCCGCTCACACAGTCCCTGCCAACGGACAAGGGCAGCCGAGCTGAAGACAATGATTAAGTGGTTTGGAAAGCTGATCACATTAAAGCCTGGAGAAGGAAGATCTGGAAGCAGACCTTGTCAAAGTTTCTCTGCTTCTTGTCCAGGGCAGCGCAGGCCGCGTTGGTCCTCTCTACGTCAATCATGAGGTCCTCCACCTCATTCTGCAGCCGCTGCTTCGTCTTCTCCAGGGAAGCACACTTGGCATTCACGGCTTCTACATGCTCCTCAGCATCCTGCAGACGCTGAGCCAGCTTCTTCCTGAGAAGTGAATATGGATAATAGATGGGAACAGTTATCAGTAGAACTATTTCAAAACGGTTACAAGTGAGTGTTTCCAAGGCCAGACTTCCTGAATCAGCAAAGCTTGTTTTGTCCAGTGCATTCCCTGGGAACTTACTGTGGTTCTCCTGACACCAGCTGCTAAGAGTAGCCAAATCTCATCATCACCACACTTTATGGAGTCTGAGCCAAAACTTCACACATCTTTTGTAGAACTTAGAATCTACCTTGAATTACTGTCAGTTATGTCTGTGTCTCCACTGAGTTTTCATGCTCAGAGGGTAGAGTTTGTATCTTGCTAGTCTTTGTGTTCTCATAGGCCGGTGCACATGTTAAGTACTCCACTGTAGACTGTATTGAATTCAAATGAAACACTCTTGATTTGGTCTGAATAATTGTATCTCTTCTTTTTTGCCAGCTTTTTGTTAATCCATCAATTAGAGATCTCTCCCAGAGTCAATATAAATATAGCTGTGAGAGTTTATTTCAAAAATCACCTTTAAGCATCTTCCAAAACATTAATTTCATCAGTATATAGGTTGTGCATTATTCAGAGAATGGATGCCTAGCAGCATCTTAAACTGGCTGTTGAGTAAGGTTCTTTCTTACCTAGGTTCTTTCTCACAAAAATTCATCCTTGAACTTTTGAATTGCGTTGACTATTTATTCCTTTACAAAGCAGTGTGCTTCCTCCCTTACCGCAGCATCTCTGTCTGTACCCCACATTTGTTCTTTTTTTTTAATTTATTTTAATTTATTTTGCAATACAATTCAGTTCTACATATCAGCCACGGATTCCCTTGTTCTCCCCCCCTCCCGTCCCCCTCACCTTCCCCCCAACCCCCCTCCCCATTCCCATCTCCTCCAGGGCAAAGCCTTCCCCACAGACTGAGGTCAACCTGGTAGACTCAGTCCAGGTAGGTCTAGTCCCCTCCTCCCAGGCCGAGCCAAACAATCCTGCATAGGCCCCAGGTTTCAAACAGCCAACTCATGCAATGAGCACAAGATCTGGTCCCACTGCCTGGATGCCTCCCAAACAGATCAAGCCAATCAACTGTCTCACCCATTCGGAGGGCCTGATCCAGTGGGGACCCCTCAGTCATTGGTTCATAGTTCATGTGTTTCCATTCATTTGGCTATTTGTCCCACATTTGTTCTTAACCACATAGTTCTATTTCCTCCTACATTGTACTTTTGTATGTAAAAAGAAAGAGCTCCTATCAATCCAGATTATTTTTCTCTTTGCACCCTTACCCTTAGGCCAATTATTCCATTAGTGGCTGAGAGAGAGGAGAAGCACACAAGAGTATATAATTAACTGAGTAAGTTATTACAATTCTATCTGCACCTGTGTAGACAGAATGAGGTCAAAAGTTCCCCCTTTGAAAAAATTACTGTTCAGCTTCCTCTTGCCTTGCACCTTTTCTCCTTCTGCCATTCTTTCCATGGACTACCTAGATATTTGTACTTCCTGTTTAGATTGATGTTCATAGATATATATTGCCACTTTAACCAAGTCAGGCACATACTTGGCCTCCTCCAGCTCCTCTGTGCGTTGGATGGCATCTGTCTCATATTTTGTCCTCCACTGGGCCACCTCACTGTTGGCCTTGGACATGGCCCTCTGCAGCTCAGCCTTGGCTTCCTGCTCCTCTTCATACTGTTCCCTCAGTAGGTCACAGTCATGGCGGGAAGACTGAAGAGCATGAGCCAGGGCACTCTTGGCCTGAAAAGTAAGAATTTAGTAACATAATTCTATATGTTCAAACTGGTATTTATTCTCTAAGTTTTTAGGGGTCACTGCAAACACACAAACACACAAACACACACAGAGACATACACACACACAGAGTAAAAGTACACATAAAAACACAAACAACTCCAAGAACAATGATAACCATAACAACAAGAATCCTTCTGGCTCACCTTTATTTCCTCTTCAAGCTGCCTCTTTAACTCCTCAATCTGTTGTGTGAACGCCTGTTTGCCCCTGGAGAGCTGGGACACTAGTGAGTCCTTTTCATCTAGCTGGCGTGAATATTCACCTGAAAAGACCAAGGTCCAAAAAACTCAGCCTGACTTTAGACATGAAAACTCTAAAATAAAAACTGGAGCAGAGAAAGGATGCTGAGCTCTAAAACGAGGTGAGAGGTGTAGGTTTTATTAAACTTCCAACATCCACTTCACAACTGATGAGCAAATAAATCTGTTGAGTGAGACTAGGGGGATCTTTGAGCCAAATTTCCTGTGTATGATAATCAACCAAGGAGGTTTGGAGAGATATTTAAGATGATCTGATCACAGTTGAAAGAGATGAAGAAACACCTGGGGAAAAACGTACAGTGAATGGACATGGCACCCAGATGCTTTCTGGCCAAGGGGATTCTGTGTTACAAAGTCACCTGAAGCAATGACTTTGTGTGTGGGGGCAGGGTTGAGGGAGGATGAGGAATGAGAATCTTCAAATAATTGACCCTGTAAGCAGAACTGATGCTCAGGAGAAGCTCTGGGAAGCATGTTCATGTTTGGAAACAATCAAGCATTTTCTGTCCCTGGAACAAGTTGGTTCTGAAAAATAAACAGTTGCTAAACCGAATGGCAAAGAAAGCTTTTCAGTGCCCCATGTGAAAATTAGTAACTTGCAAGTCTTACCTGTTTTGAAATTTATTAGGAAGCATTCACTCTTTAAGATCATGCTGCTGGTAGGACTAAAAACCTGTGCTGAAGAGGGGAAGTTGTGGGGAACATCCTAACCTGAGAATAGCTTCTGTTTTATACTGGATGTCCTGTTCACCTTAATAACAATAATACAGTCTTTGAGTGTCACAAGACCGAGCAACATTGGAATGGTGTTGCAAGAGTGGTTCCCGGACACTGTCACCTGCCTGTTACTTTGATAGCCCATGTGATCCATGAACCAGCTTTCCATCATGTTAGCTCTTATTGAGGGAGATAAAACTTCAGTAGAAAGTTGGGGAAGTCAGTAAGAGGTGTTCATGCAGAGGCTTCCCAATCTGGCTGGTCAAGAACATAACTTCACTTATGCTCCTGACTGTTTCCTTGCTGAACTGCGCTCATCCCTAGCAATTTGTATTTGGACAAAGTTCTCCATCATTTCCATGATGTGTCATCTTCAAATGGGGATAACATTATGCAGACTAATGAGAAAAATGAATGCCAGTTAGCTTGTGACAGTACTTTTGAAAAGTGAAGAGTTACTATGGAGATACACTTTGTATTTGATTAATTCTGTTTGTTTTATTTTGAGGTCAGGTCTTGATATGTAGCCTAGGGCTGGCCTGGAGCTCACAGTGTATGTCAGGTTGACCTTAAACTTAGCATCCTTCTACTTCAATTCCCTGGGGCTACAACTCTGGATATGTGCCTAAATGCCCAACCCATATTTGATAACTTTTTGGTTATAGCCAAACCTGCTGTAGGATGTCCAGAAGCAAGAGCAACTCTATCAACCAATCTACCTACCTACCTACTGAACTACCTATCTTCTGTAAAAGAGCAACCTTATGCCATTGCCAATAATGAGATACCTCCAAGGAAAGTAACATATGAGCTCGAGTAATTCAGTACAGTTTTCAGCAAATTGGCAATCTAAGGCATGTTTGGGGTTCCAGAGAAACAGCCTACCTGACTCGGTCTGCAGACGTCCTCTCTGGGCTGTCAGCTCATTGATCAGCCGCTGCTGTTCCTCCTCCTTGGTTTTCAGCTCACTCACTTGATCCTCCAGTGTGCGGCACATCTTTTCAAGGTTTCCCTGCATTCAAAGAATTGAGGGAAACATTCAAGCAAGTCTTTGTACCAAAGAGAACTTTGAGTGATCTAGACGTCGCAGTTGGTTTGAGAATAAACTGACTTTACAGAGTAATAATAGTGAGCCTCAGAGGTCATGGGAAGGATAACAAGACACATGGTCTGAGCACACTACTTCTACATTGTTCTGTGCATCCAATGCCTTCTCTAGATTTCCTTAGCTGTGGTGTAAGATAATGATGCCTGATTGAGCTCATCACATGTTTGTGAGAAACAAATTTTGTTTGAGCCTAAAGGAAAAAGGAAAAGTCCCATGATTGACATGAAGCATTTTAGAACCTCAAAATGTATAGCTGGATAATATTTTTTTGTTTTCTGAAAGAGCTCAGACTTCACTTTATTATTTGGACATGGCTATTCTCCCTTAAGGTGAGCACGCCAGGCTTACGACCCATTTCTCTAGTCCCAACTTGTGATTCCCCTCCTTCTGTCGGTTCCTAATGACTTGTCCAGGTTCACACCTGTCTTACAGAAATCTCCTGGACTTTTAGATCATGTTTGTACCTTGGATTTGGAAATAACTTCCATGTTACTGGCGAGGTCATCGATTTCCATCTTCATCTCGCTCTTCTCCTTCTCCAGCTTCTGCTTGACACGCTGCAGGTTATCAATCTGCTCCCCAAGCTCAGCCACGCTGTCCGCATGCTTCTTCCTCAGGGTGGCTGCTGTGGCTTCATGCTGCAGGGTGGCCTCCTCCAGGTCCCTGCGCATCTTCTGGAACTCAGCCTCTCTCTTCTTGTTCATCTCGATCTGGGCTGAAGTGGCCCCACCGGCTTCTTCCAGCCTCTCACTGATCTCCTCCAGTTCCCGGGAGAGATCAGAGCGCTGCTTCTCTGCTTTGGCTCTGGAGGCCCTCTCTGCCTCGATTTCCTCCTCCAGCTCCTCAATGCGGGCCTGGGGGTGGTGGAAAGTACAGACTCAGCTTCTTGGGTCAGTCATTTTTTTTTTCCTGATGAGTTAGACTGATGGAAGCCTTTTACTTACTTGCAACTCCTTGATTTTCTTCTGCAGCTGCATGCCAAGGGCCTGCTCATCTTCAATCTTGCTTTGCAGATTGCTCATTTCAAACTCTTTCCTATAGGGAAAGCCCTGGTGTCCATCACAGAGCCATTAATAGTCCCTTCCCTCAAGACATTTATCCTCATTACTTACTTTTTAAGCTTTTCATCAAGCTGCTGTTTGTCATTTTCTACATCCATTGTGGACTCTTGGGCCAATTTGAGGTCTCCCTCCAGCTTCCTCTTTGCCCTTTCAAGATCCATCCGGATTTTCTTTTCTTGTTCCAGAGAGCCTTCAAGCTAAAAGTTAACAATTCGTGAATGTAGTCCCTAGAATAGTGTGGCGTTTGCCCCAGGTTAAACTTGGTGACATTAATTCATAGTGTATCAGATGGTCTCTGGCAGTTTTATGAAATAGGAAGATCTTCCTCATCAGTACTGTCTTTGGACTGTGCTTAGACTAAAGAGTCAGTGTTTAAAATGTGAAATGTGTAACATGTACCAGGATTACGAGTGAAACATCATGGTTTCTATATCTCCCACTGAATCAACCCACTGTGAGCAGTATTTCCCACACATGATGGGCAGCACAGGGATGTTTCCACACCATGACTTTGGCTAATGTGTCCTGTTCGCACACATTTCCAAAAGTTTTCTGTTAGATATCAGGTCAACATGTCCAGCCAGCTTATCGCCCACACACATAACCCGTGTTCCCTCCTCCCTCTGTGCATGAGGCCTTGTGACATGTTGCTGTGCTTCCTACTTAGATATGTTCCTTCTCCGTTGTGTTCCTGAAGCCACCAGTGTCTCTAGTTCAGCTAAAGACTGTTCTGTTCATAGACGTCTTGGTGAACAAACCCTCATTGCTTTGAATTCTTTTCGCTCATAAGATAATCAATAAAGGCAAGTGGCTGTGAATAACAGATGATATGAAGCAATTATGCTCTACAGTTCTTGTGTGGGGGAAGGGCTTTGTTAATGCTCAGTGCATCATGAGGAGACAAGCTCATGTTTGCCTAATTATAAAAAAATTGTAAAAGGTTTCTATGGTATTAGACTCACATCATCCACTTGCTGTTCAAGCTTGATTTTGGCTTTGGTCAGGGTGTTGACTTTGTCCTCCTCTGCCTGCAGGTCATCCAGGGTCTGCTGGTGGGCCTCTTGGAGGGCCTTCTTCTCCTTGGTCAGCTTGGCGATGGTTTCGTCCAGGCCTGCCATCTCCTCTGTGAGGTTTTTCACCTTAAGAAGCAAACATGCTTTGCATTACATGTTATGTTTTAATAGATTGGCTCTTACGTTTTACTTCATAATTTAAAAGGGTCATAACTTTCCATGCATATATCTCATACCTTGTTCTCTGTGGCATGCTTCTCCTTCTCAACCTTGGCCAGTGTGAGCTCAAGGTCGTCGATGTCTTTCTTCAGCTCTGAGCACTCATCCTCCAGCTTCCTCTTCTTGGCGGTCAGCTCAGCGTTGATCTCCTCCTCATCCTCAGCTCTCTCTGTCACCTCCTTGATTTTGGCCTCCAGCTGGATTTTGGTTTTGATCAACTGGTCACATCTTTCTTCTGCATCAGCCAAGCTGTCTGCTTCCTGTGGAGAGATAATAGACATTTTTAAATTTTAGTTCCCTGGACCTTTTAGATTATATTAATATTTTGAAAGCAAGCAAGCAAATTACGTTTGAAGGCATCAGGTTTCTTCTAAATAGCTTTCTACCTCTGAGAAAAATAGACAGAGCACTGACTATGCACTTGAATATTAACAAAGAAATGTAAGACATGGTTTCTGGCCCTTGTGAAACTATGATACCATTGTTTTGCTATAACATACATTTAATGCATCAGCATATAATTTCAAATTGGCTTTCTTAGTTTAATGTTTATTTTTATAAACATTTATAAAGGTTTAATATACAAAAGAAGACATTAAAATAAAGAACCAAATATCAAGATCTTGTTAAGAGGACAGTAAACATCAAAAAAATGACTTAAAAGGAAAGAATGTCCTCCAAAGACAATGTAGCTTATATTTTTAAAAATGGATGGAAGAACCAAGGAGAATGGGTCATAGGGACTGGAGGTACTTGGAGAAGTATAAAGTATTAACCTTGTTTCTCATAAGAAAAAATAGGATTTGGAATATAAACTCTGAGACATGAAATAGTTATTAAGTGGGGAGTAGATGGAATACTGCTAATATAAACACATATATTCATATATAATATATATATGTGTGTGTAGTATAGTTGGATCAAGCTTAGGAACCCTCTTCAATAATCTCTTTATTCTTGGTGGTGTGATGAACTTCTCCTCATCTTGGAAAACCTCAGTTTATACAAACTACAGTAATGATATAAGCCAACCTTGATGTTTGCAATTCATTTTGTTATGTATTCAGAATACATAGACCCCATGGGACTGGTTGCTTCCCCTTCTGAATTCAGAAAACTCAAAAGTAAACTTTTCATGCTTCTGTGCTTGATTATGACAGTAGTTTGGGGAAGACAAAAACAGATCAGATGGTAACACCTGGTCACACATTATTTTTCAAATCTCTGGATATTTATTGGATCACCAGAGTGAGAGTATCAACCCAACATCTCATACTGTGCATAATAATGGACACTACCTATAGAAAGCCTTGCCATGTCCCAATTCTTTCAGGTAGTCTAAAATTTCTAAAAGAAAATTGAGTAGAAAATTTTTAGAGGACTGTAGGTTGAAAATTTGGAATATTACTTTGGGGTTGATATATTACTATTACAAGGTCTTCTTCCTATTCACTACTAATATTGTTCTTTTAGCATTTGTCAATAGGTAGAATTGTGGGAAAGCAAGTATTCCCCCTATTTCCCATCCTCAGTGTGCCAGGAAAAGTAATTAAAAGAAAGGGTAAATGTTTTGTTGTTCCTCTGGGCAACTGAGAATCCTACTGCACTGATTTCCAGCAATGTTGTATGGAATGTTACAGAACACTCAAACGAGTTGTCAATTTAAAAGTTTGGTAGCCAGTCACTTCATTTTGTGGCATTCTTGGTCATCATTGAGCAGAGATTTTAGCATCAGAGTGAGCTTTGAGACTCACAGACTGAACTTGGAGCTGCAGATCATTTTTCTCTTGCATCAGAGCTACCATCTTTTCTTCCAGTTCTTTCCTTTTGGCCTCAGCCTTTGCAAGGTTTTCTTTAGCTTTTTCAAATTCTTCCTTCATGTTGGCCATCTCCTTCTCTGTCTCTGCACTCTTTAGCAGGGGCTTGATCTTGAAATACAGCTTCATCCAAGGCCAGTGCTTGACATTCATGAAGGCACGGACATTGTACTGGATGCAGAAGATAGACTCTCTGTGGAAGGAACAGAAATGTTCTAAGTCAGATTCTAATGGAAACCACAATGAAACAGACTAGAACAATGAACTTAATATGTTGTTCTTATTCACACCTTCTCTCTACCATCTTCTGGTACTCCACTCTTGCTAAGTACCCTCTGCACATGGCCTGGGTTCGGGTAATCAGCTGGGCCAACTTGTCATCTCTCATCTCCTCTAGGAGCCCCAGAAGACCAGCTTTGAAGAACACCTGTTTGCGGACAATGTTGAAGATCAGAAACTTCATACAAAGTTCAAATGGCAGGAAGACATGAGGCTGAATTTTGAGAGGATTACCTTGGTGTGACCAAACTTATACTGAGTGTGGTCAATGTCGATGGAGCCAAGGAGCTTCTCAGAAGCCTTCTTGCTATCGATGAATTGTCCCTCGGGGATGGCACTTGCGTTTAGCACCTTGTATCTGTTTAAACCAACCAAATAAATGACATAGCTGTTGTCTCCCTACCATAGGAATCTCCCTACCATAGAAACACCAAAGCTGTTGGGTAGTCTAACAAAAAAAAAAAAAAAGAAACCATATTACCCTTTATCTATTCTTTGTATAGTCAAAGAACACACCACAGTGTGTCCCCAAGTCACTTGAATGTATTATTTTCCTCTTTGTTAAAAGGAAAAAGCAATAGCAAAAACCTAAAAGTAATCCACAGTGAAAAATATCCAACCTCTGCTTGAAGTCTGCATAGAGGATCCTGCTTGGGAACCCCTTCCGGCAGATGCGGATGCCTTCCAGCACCCCGTTACACCTCAGCTGGTGCAGGACCAGTTCATGCTCCATGGCACCTGGAAAAAATACACATGTGTTTCACGGTCAAGGCTCTAAAGCAAACACACTGGGACATGTCTGGGTAGATACCGGAAGTGTCTTACCAGGAGTCTTAGTTTCATTAGGGATGATGCAGCGTACAAAGTGGGGGTGGGTGCTCCTCAGATTGGTCATTAGCTTATTCAGATTCTCCTATGGAGTCATAGAATATCTTGTTTAATGTGTACTGTTTCAAACACTCATATTTACAGACATAACGGCCATGGGCCACCACTCTGGTTCAGTTCTGTTGAACAGTATCAAGGTTTGGATTTTCCAGAGTCACATCTGGAATTTCTAAGTTCTTGACATGCCCTCCTGGTTTCTGTTTTGTACACCAGGAGCATGTTTCCCTGTCAGCTGCTGAGGTGGCTGCTCACTGCTGATGAATTTCTTGGCATGTGTTATGTATTTATCATGGCACTGCAAACATACAAAGGTGCCCCATCCATACACGAACCACATATTGAGATCCTTGGTCTGGATTTGCTCCTAATCCAATGTTGCCTCCAGACCTCCCATTTCTTACTTTCCTTTCACAAGCTCTTTTCTTATCCTACCACACAGCTGTGTCATCCTACTAGCTCCATAGAAAGTGTCCGTTTCATGCCTCCTTCTTGGAACTGCCAAAAACTAACAGTCATATTACTGAATATCAAAAGCTTGCCACCTTTCAGAGAGAGTCTTTCAGAATAACAAGAACTTCCATTCTTCAAGATGTAATTAAGGGCTGAGATTGCCAAGAAAAAAGTAAATTTTCCTTGAAGACTTTTTTAAAAAAAATCACATCTGGTTTCTTATATTCCCTTCCTCTGACTCACACTCCAATTCCGTCCACCGCTCACCTGTCCTCCACTTTCAAATCTACTCATTGGAGGCCTCCGCTAGTATACACTTAGGAATCTAAATCACTTGGAAGCTCTCCGAAGTTCTAGAAAACTCATGATATATGCAGTCCTCTCCTGTTGGAGATTTTTAAATGCCAAATGACCTCACTGCCGACTTCCCAAATGGAGTGTTTCCATCTGAAGCTTCTGTAACTCACTCCTGACCCTTATCTTATTTAATGAGGCATTTCTTCAAAGCTATTCTGACCTTCCCTAAAAATCAGGTTTACCACTGTCAGCTGACCCACCCCACCCCATCCCACCTACATCACATCCAGTTCCAGAGCTTTTTGAGACACTATCCACTGCCCCACCCCACCCCCCATACACATCCGCGTGAACTCTAACATCCTAAACCTATTTAGGGAGAAAATGAAATTTGTACCCTGAAGAGAGCAGACACGGTCTGGAAAGAAGAACCCTTCTTCTTAGCGGCTTTCTTTCCACCACCGCCACCAGACTCTGAGGGAGCAAGGAAAGCGCAGAGAGTCAGAAGCCAGGCTTCTCCACTTAGAATTTCCACATTACATACAAATCGCTGATTGACAATCACCTGCTTCAGCAGCTGCTGCTGCCCCAGAGAAGAGGTAAGCCAGAGTTTTCATTGAAGACTTCTGGTACAGCCCCACCACCGTCTCATTCAGGGGGTCCTTGTTCTTGTCCAGCCAGCCGGCGATGTTGTAGTCCACGGTCCCCGCGTAGTGCACCAGCGAGAAGTGGGCCTCGGCCTTGCCTTTGGCGGGCTTGGGCTTCTGGAAGTTGTTGGACTTTCCAAGATGCTGTTCATAGAGCTTGTTCTTGAAGGAGGTGTCTGTTGCCTTGGGGAACATGCACTCCTCTTCCAGGATGGAGAAGATACCCATTGGCTAGAAGGATAAATACAGAAACAAATGCCACATGAAATCTGTCTGCTCACAGAAGTGACAGATGACGTGAAGGGCTAGATTCAGACTTCAGTTCCACGGAGCTAATGAAAACTCATTTGTTTGGTCAGAGGTTACTGACTTAACGAGACTCTTAGCTATGACAAAGAAAGACAGATAGGCTTTTCTGGACTTTGTGTCTACCCAAAAAGTCTTGGAGCAGTACTTCTCAAAGTGTGGCTTCCTAACTGGTGGCACTAGAATCCCTTCCTAACAATGCAGACTCCATGGCTTATTCAGCATTTGCTGTAAAGTACTCACGGGGGTGAGAGCAGGGGACACTGTGTTCAGTGCTTGGTGTGACTTTGACACAGCTGGAGTTTGGACGTCTCTGTCTACAGCATTAGAAATTTGTATTTCAGAGGTCAATAGGAGTGAATCTAAGGATGTCAGAGAAGTAAGTAAAACTATTCTAATAAGTGCTAAATTTTTTACATGGAAATAGCTTTCAGCGTTAAGGCTTTGGTTGTAAACTCTGGGTAGACATAGAATTCTGGACTCTTTAGAACACATTCTGTCTCGAATGTGGGGAACAAGAAGAATGAAGGAGTTGGAAGATGGGGGATGGGTGCTGTGAAACACTGTCATCTGGATGTGACGTAGCTGACCATGGAACTCATGAACTCAGTAGCTGTGGTTACTTGTCCAACACCTGCAGGAGATGGGGACTGTTAACCTTTCACCTTGGATGGGAGGTCTCATAGGCCCCGCCCTTCCCTGAGGAGCTACAAGCAGTCAGTGGCAGCTGGGAAGAAGGGGGTCTCTTCTTCCGTGGTGTCGCCACTGGTAAGCTGCCCATGGTGTGGTAAGCCATCCATCCCCTCCTCCCATGCTCATGCATGCTCATGGAAACTCAGTGGATCTAAAAAATATTTTAAAAATTAAAAAAAAAAAGGAGAAAGACTTGTTGAGGAGAAGGAGTCCAGAGTTGGTGTGTGTTTGGGGGAGGGGCAAACGATGGTAATGTGGGACGGGAATAACCAAAATATGTTATATACAACATATATTATATATGTGTCTGCAAAACTGTCAGAGAACGAACATTTTTTTAAAAGAAAAAATTCTGTATCATGTTACCAGCATACTTCCCTCATTTTGTGTATAGGTAGCAATCTTCTGCCATCACACACACCAAGGTTTTTTTTTTTTTTTTTTTTTTTTTTGTTTTTGTTTTTGTTTTTCGAGACAGGGTTTCTCTGTGTAGCTTTGCGCCTTTCCTGGATCTCGCTCTGTAGACCAGGCTGGCCTCGAACTCACAAAGATCCACCTGCCTCTGCCTCCCGAGTGCTGGGATTAAAGGCGTGCGCCACCACCGCCCGGCACACCAAGGTTTTTATTGGCTTTTGTTTACACACCATACAACTGTGATCTGAAAAGGGTATACTAACCTTCTCGATGAGCTCGATGCAGGCGGCCAGGTCCATCCCAAAGTCGATGAACTCCCACTCAATGCCTTCCTTCTTGTACTCCTCCTGCTCCAGCACGAACATGTGGTGGTTGAAAAACTGTTGCAGTTTCTCGTTGGTGAAGTTGATGCACAGCTGCTCCAGGCTGTTGAACTAAATAAGTGGAGAAGCAAATTAGCCTCCGATTTCTAATGAAGGCATCTCTGGCCTCTCCTCAGCTGGGAAGGCTAACTGATCTCTTAGGATGGAGGGGTTGGGTTTTGTGGGTTTTTTTTGTCCCATTTGTAGTAAACCCCTTCATTAAAATTTCATCTAGTTATCAATATGCTCATAGAAAAAGATTTTCAAATATGAGTTCAGCATGAGACCAGTTAGAAATACGACTGGTAGGTGGAGAGTCAGTCACTTTGACTGACCGGATTGTATAGCATTCTCTCTTAGGCAGACATATTTGAGTTTACTCAGTTGCTGTCTCCATCCACTGGACCCGGTCCTTGCAGACGTCACCTTAGTGACAACCTCCCCTATTAAGCAGACAGGAATCTCAGTGTCTGTGTCTGTTTGCCATCATCTTTCCCAGTACCATTTGATGCTATTGTTGGCTAATCATCTTCTCTATCATTTACTGATTGCTGATTGTGAATTGGGGATTATACTAAGGGCTCTAAGTGCAGCAATCTCATAATTGACAAAAAGATCTGCAAGAGGGTGTTACATAGATCGGTAGGTCCTCCTTGAAATGGTGCAATGGCACATGCCATTCCAACTATCCCACAGAGAGGAAATGACAGATCCGGAGTTTAACTCCAGAGTCCACACCCTTTCCCACGTTTCCAGTCCTCTCGCATGAATCGATTTATAATGTGGTTATTTTTCATAGCATTCCCTGGATGACTACAGGAACAAGACTCGCAAATGTTTCTGCTACTACGAAGTTTCTACCAACTCACATCAAAGATCTCAAAGCCAGCGATGTCCAAGACCCCGATGAAGTACTGCCTGGGCTGCTTGGTGTCCAGCTGCTGGTTGATGCGGGTGACCATCCACAGGAACATCTTCTCATAGACAGCTTTGGCCAGGGCGCCCACAGAGTTGTACACCTTCAGAGACAGGGTAGTTCTTGTTGGCATCGTTAATGATGTCAAGGAGGTCTTGGGTGTGTGTGCTTCACAGAGGGCATGCATTTACCTGCTGCACCGTCTGGCCTTTGGTGACGTACTCATTGCCGACCTTGACCCTAGGGTAACACAAGGCTTTGAGCAGGTCAGCAGAGTTCAGATTCTGGAGATAGGCAGCCTTGTCAGCAACTGCAGAAACATAATTCAGGGTCCCAATATTACCTTCTCTAGGCCCCATAATCCTCAGAGGCAGAGTGTTGAGTAGATTGCTTTGTACGTTCTGTGTGGGGATAAACTTGTGTGTGCCCACTAGTAGCTCAGTTACAGAGGAGACAGGAGTTTGGATTATATTTTCTCTGTAAACCCACGTAGAGAGTTCAGTTTGGTTTTGACTGAGTTTGGTACCTTCTGTGCCATCTGGCTCAGCCTGCTCCTCTCGCTGCTTCTGCTTGAACTTCATGTTCCCATAATGCATCACGGCTCCCGTGAGCTTATAGATGGAGACTCTTTCATCAGAAGTGAAGCCCAGAATATCAATGGCACTCTATGAGGAGCCAAGAGAGGATAAATGTAAGGGCGGAAGACACTACTTACTTGGCAGAATTCATAGTTTACCCTAACTAGGCTATTGCTGTCGTGCTCATACATAATGTGTGACTTACATCTGTGGCCATCAACTCTTCTTGGTCATCAATGCTTGGCACTGTGATCTCCCCCTGACTGACAAAGGCGTAGTCATATGGGTTGGTGGTGATCAGGAGCATTTCTGGGTACATAGGATTCAGGGTATATGTTTAGTATTAGAAAATGTTAATGAAAGCACTAACTTCTATTTATGAATTTAAGGTTATTACCAATTAGATCTGGCTTCTTGTTAGACATGATCTGATAAAAAATGTGGTAGCTTCTTTCAGCTTTTAGCTGGAAGGTGACTCTAGACTTCTCCAGAAGATCTGTAATGGAGAGTCAACATTATCTGAGAGGGGGCTCATCAAGTGTCTTAGAGTTGTTTTAGAATATGAAGTCATCAGCTAAGTCTTCTGACCCCTGGAGATCATAGCTCAATGATCATGAGGTACCACACACTACATCTCTACAGACACTGAGTTCCCTCTGACCACCTCTAGAGTGAAGATAAAATGTACTTGCCTAAAGGAACGCTCGCTTCTCCTAGAGAAGAACCTTGACATTTAGAATATAATCTAGTCCTGAAACTGCTGCTTCCAAGAGTCTCCTGGCATTCTAATAGACAGGCTACTAAGGGAAATAGTTACCAAGGCTCAGAAATGGAAGAATCACACACTTTGAACCCATAGGCAACTCAAATACCTGTGTTACCTTGCTCTTTGAGTATTTTGAAAGTGTAATGAGCCAGGATATTTCAAACAAGTCCAAAAATGCCTGGCAGTTTCTACAGAATCATTAGCTCATGCCTGGGTGGGTAAAAGCACACTGTGGGCTTTGCCTAAGGCTGGCACTCACTGCAAGCCTGCTTGGCAGCAGAGGTGTTTTCTGGGCTCCATGCTAAGCAGGCGCTGCAGAGTGTTCCTCCAAACCCTCATTTGTTATTCTTGGATTCCAGTTAGAAGGTCCAGTTACTCACATGTTTCAATATCAGCAGAAGCCAGTTTCCCTGTGGTACCAAAGTGGATCCTGATGAATTTACCCTTGGAAGGGAAAAAGATGATGTTAGCATCAAAGGCCGAAGCACCCAGAGAGGAGTGAATGCAGTGTTTCCGCTATGGTTCCAACTGAAGTCAGAGAAGACTAGGAGACTCACAAAGCGAGAGGAGTTGTCGTTCCTCACGGTCTTGGCATTCCCAAAGGCCTCCAGCAGGGGGTTGGCACTGATGATTTGATCTTCCAGGGTCCCCTGTAAGGGAAAGATCAGTCCTCACATCTCAGGCTCAGGACTTTCTTGCCTGAGAGCCCCAACAGAGCCTAGACTTCGTGACAGTCAGACTTACCTGCATTTTGCCAGAAGGCGCCTCCTCCTTTTTCTTCTCCCCAGTGACTGCGATTGTCGCAAAGTACTGGATGACACGCTTCGTGTTCACAGTCTTCCCGGCACCGGATTCTCCACTGTCCAATCAAGACCAGTATGTGGAAAATTAAGCTTTGTGGCCGATGAAACTATTTCTGCCAACAGTATTTACTCTCTTGTGTGTCTGTCTTTACATTTCTTTCATAGTTGTCTAGGTTAGGTCTTTTCATCCTACAAATAACTCATATTGTTTCCTTTAGTTTGCACTGACAAGTAGGTAAATTCATTTATTAAGTCATTCATGTGGTATGGGTGCTTAAAATGTTCCAGGTTCTTTTTCAAGGTGCTGAGACTTGTTCTTGAGGAATCCACCAAGCAGCCACTCAACAGCTGTGTAGTGAATGGAAGGATGAGCAAGAAACACAAAGTGATGTGTGTATTCCGTGGCTGCCTTAGACTAGAGGTAAGGCTCCAGTTAGATCTCACAGGGGTTAGAAGTCCCCTAGGCAGACCTCCTCTAACATGGCTGGGGCTAACCCCAGATTACCTTCATTAGGCTGTGTGCTATCCTCTGCACTGGACTGAGCTCTGGCCAAGCTCCAGGAGGGAATTTTGCATTCCCTACTTCTGGGAATGCCATGTGACACTCTCAAGGCTATCCTGACCAGCAAAATATATTACAGCATTGTTGTTTTACACCCGGACTCAATCTACTTTCTACAGTGAGTCCAAACCAGTTCCTAGCTCCTCACTGATTGTATCATTTCTTTCAGTACTAACTAATTTCCTCTTTGAGTTTCTCATTTTCCCAGTGAGAGTAAAACACCAGTAAGTTTCAGAAGAGAAATACATACGTGATCAAAATAGACTGATTCTCCCGATCTAGAAGAAAAGCAGTGTATAGTCAGCACATGTATTAGTCACGTAGATTTTTTTCTTGAGTCTCTGTGTCATATTTTTCATGGAAGTTTTTTTTCTTTGTTTTTATTGTATTATTGTAAAGTTATAGATGGGATTTATTCTCTGATCTTTTGAGTCAAGAAGGAAAGCCATAAAATGCTGTCATAACTACATCACCACAGGAAGGGTACCCTCTTGGTTTCATATAGAGGATAGTACACTCCAAAGTCAGACACACACCTTCACCCCAGTCTCTGTAAATCTCAGTGGCACACTTCCCACTGATAACTAGCTGTTACTAGAAATGCATTATGTGCTCTGGCTTTACAAGTTAGAATGGCGATGCTCAAGCCAAGGTTAGGATTTCATTTTTAAATGGGTGGATTCACCTCACCAAGACAGAATTTCTTGTCCTGTGGACCCAGACTACAACCTTATGATTAGCCTTCCTCGAATTATTAAAGGGTGATCATGAAGACATCGCAAAGGGCTTCTGAAAGTGAAATCCTTTGTGGGGTGAAAACTTCTAGTTATAAAATGTCTAGGGACCCCAAAGACCATCTTTACTAAGCAAAAGCCACTGTCAAGAACGCGTTCTGAGGACTTAAAACATCACAGTACTTCCAAAAGTAGCCAGTACAAGTGACATTAAACTGAGGCAGTGTGGGAGTGGATGGCATGATTTGCACTCCTGTCCAAGCCGGGTCCCTCGGGTACCTTCTTCTCATTATTCAAACACACAGAGGGAAGCACACTCTTCCTGAGCAAGGAGACTATAAGACACTGAGCCGCATGAAGAAGTTGCAAGCTCTGCTGAGGTAGTGGAGGGAGAGTCAGAAGCAACAGAGTTCAGCCCCTGACCTGATCATGTCTGCCTTTCTCTACATTTTTTTTTCCGAGACAGGGTTTCCCTGTGTAGCTTTGCACCTTTCCTGGAACTCACTTGGTAGCCCAGGCTGGCCTCGAACTCACAGAGATCCGCCTGGCTCTGCCTCCCGAGTGCTGGGATTAAAGGCAGGCGCCACCACCGCCCGGCACCACCTTCTACTTTTGAGAACACCGTGTTTCGTGGATAACTAGAATGTCATGAACAATTGACTCTTTCTAAAGGTCTTTTGGACTCTCTAACATTGTTGGAGTATAGGTGATAAAAATAGTTCATATGAAAACTCACTCACCCGTCAGCATGAACTGGTAGGCGTTGTCAGAGATGGAGAAGATGTGGGGCGGGGCCTCCTGTCGCTTTTTGCCTCGGTAGGCCGCCACTACCTCTGCATTGTACACTGGCAGCCACTTGTAGGGGTTGACAGTGACGCAGAACAGGCCCGAGTAAGTCTGCATCAAGGGGGAGCGCATAATTATTGGATGGGACATTTATTATCTACTATTTAAGAAAAAAAAAAAGACAACTTAATTACTCTGTTGAGCGAAAGGGCACAAGAGAGAACTCACGTAGATCATCCAGGCTGCGTAACGCTCTTTGAGGTTGTACAGCACTGCGGGTTCGTGCAGGTGGGTCATCATGGCCATGTCCTCGATCTTGTCGTACTTGGGAGGGTTCATGGGAAAGACTTGATCATCTTTTACTGTTACAGTCTGTCCATAAACAAGAGATTTTAGGTTAGGAACTAAGTGTCAGTCAAACTAGCCCAGTGGTGTAGTGTCACCAGGTCCAGATGTTTTACTTACAGCTCCACCTTCGGTCTTGGCTGTCACCTTCCCCCCTTCCCTGCTCTGCACCGTGGCTTTCACAAAAGACTCCTTAGCATCCACCACAAACACGGATGACTTGGCATCAAAAGGCTTGTTCTGAGCCTCAATCCGCTCCTTTTCAGACTTTCGGAGGTAAGGAGCAGCCTCCCCAAAAACGGCCATCTCGGCATCGGAACTCATGGCTGCGGGCTATGGGTGGCAGCCCAGTGAGAGAGCTGGCCTGGAAGAGGAAAAAATGGTAGAAATTTAAAAACCGGGCTATTAGAATCACATGCATTTTTTTTTTCATTCCCTGACAGTTGGGTGAATGCACTGCACCACGTCTAACCACCTCCCTGGCTGCGGTGTGGTTGAAATGTCAGACTGTCTGTTCCATGCCAGTGCTGACAAGTACTTAATCATGCATTTGGATGTAGCTGTTTGTGGCTCGCCTACTGTGAGAGATGTCAAGGCTGCTTCCTGAGCCTTGTTTGTTATGTATATTAACCTTTAGAAGCTGCCTACCATCGGCTCATACAGAACCCAAAGTGAAGAAGATGCTAAAATGTTCTCTGGCTCTTTGGACTTTTTTTTTTTTTCTTTCCCATTGGAATTTCAGCACCTTGCAGCAGGGAGTCCTCCTCTTTCTGGCATCCTTCACACCTCTGAGAACACATGCTGGATGCTGAGAAGGACTCAGAGCTGGCTGCCTTGGTAATAGAACAATCCGGATATGTGGCTAAAGTTTTAGGAACTCCCTTGTATGTGGAGAGCTTTGGTTTTTATTTCCCTTAGAGACTCAGCAATTACAAAGATTATACACTAGAAGAGAAAGCAGAAAGGTGAAGAACTTGGTTTGGCCTTGTTTTGTTAAAAACGACATCCTTTTGCAGGCCTTTTATCCTATCCCTGTATTTTGGCAAACTTCATTATGTTTTCTTCCTCTTTTACTCATATTCTTTTAAATGTTTTCCCTTTAAAATCCACTTCTTGCCATTCATGAACCCTGCCAATAGGCTTCATACATTATCTGTATTGTAATTTTAAATGATACCTCTCCTGGGAAAGCTCCGTTGTGTAAACTTTTCCACATTTCTCCCTTCAAACTGCAATAACTGGTATCAAAATTAAAGTGCTTTGTCTTGCTGAAACCATTTTCTCAATATTTAAATTTTTACTTGACTGATTATGAGGCAATCTGCAGATTTACACTTTGGTAAGGCAAGGGTTGATACATTCTGTCTATCTAGACATCATCTCACAGTTCTTATTAATTAGTGCTAAAAGCTGTAGCATAAGATGCTTATGTTTTTTTCCTTTTAAATGAGTAAACTGTGTTACATTGCATGCTGTAATCACTTGAAAGACAAACTACAAAAGTAGATATAGAAAAACCTCATGCACAAAGCTCCCAAGACTCTGAGAAAGGCTCTCATACACTGCAAAGGATCTGGGTTAGTGAGATCTAGTTTCCTAAGTCCCCTTGGAGTTTTCCAAGAGAAGCATGGTCAGCCATGACATTGAAATGCTTTTCATTTTTCAACCCCAGCAGACACTTTCCAAATGCTAAAGAAGATTTCTTGCACTCAGAATGAAGAAGAAAAGAAAAAAGAAAAGAATTCCTTACCTTTAGTGATGTAACCTCAACGGTGGGTCAGAACTGTAATTAAAAAAAAAAAAATGCCTTCTCATTAAATGCTAGTGACTCCCAATCAGAGCACAGTTCTTATCTGAAGAAACCAGCAAAGGACTGGGAAGACCACAACATCTAATTACAATTGCTACAGAGTAAGTTGGTGCTTCCAGTGGGAAGGCCTGCCAGGGGCAGTGGGAGCCAGGATGTGTGGCATGCACACTAGCAGCCAGGCATCCCTTCCCGTCCACACAGAGCCCTGTCCTCACACACTCTTACCTTGAAGCTTTATGAGGAAAGACAAGTCATTCTCATTCCAAGGGTACTTTTATAGGATCAAATATGGAAAACACGTAACCTCCTCCTCTTTCTTAAAACATATTTGGCAAAACGTGTTTTTGGCAATGAAGGTCTCCAAGCCTAATTCCCCTCATATTAAAGATGTTTGGATATAATTAGAAATATTCCCTCTCACATTGGGTTAAGTATATGAACCAATCTCCTATAAATAATTTGAGTTGTTGGTGATAGGAAAACGATCCGTCCTTGGAATAATGTAAGGTGTTGTTTTAAAGACTGCTGAGTTCTGGAATCCCTGGACTTTGTTGCCTGGAGCTCTTGTGTTTCACTGAGTGCCCTGTGTGAAGGCTCTTCAGCTGCCTGCACAATTGCAATATTATACCACGGAGGAAACTCTCTGCTTCTTCCCGAGTGTCGCTAAAACAGGGCTGTCTCCTCCCAAGAAGACAGGACTTTTTTTTTGCAATTCATTGTCCTTTTTGAAGGATGCTTCAAAGCTTAATTTTAAAATCCTGTTGATGAAGAACAGCCAAAGATAGACAGCTGCTTTTGTTTCCTGCAATCTGTCACCTCTGACTCACTGTCAAATCATCCCCTTCCCACTTCAGACCTATCCCCAAACCGCTGCCTAGTCACACACACACATTCTCTCATTAAGAAAAAAAAAAAAATCAAGTTGCCTGTGAAACCCTGTTTCCTCTATGAAATGGATATGAGGAAATATTAAAAACTGGGTACTTATTGTTTATAAATGCCAGCGAGTTTGACTTCTCCAGCAGCCCCTTGGTATATATTTAATTTTTCACTTACAAACAACCCCTGAACATTGTTTCCTATTTTAACGTTTGTTCGCTTTGCCATCTGAATAGCCTTGACGTCACATGACTGCGACTGAGCCCCCAGGCTCTTGTTTGGCACCCAACTGTATTCCACTGATGAGGTAAAACAAGTTGCCACGTGAAAGTAGATCTCTATCTAGAGATGCAGGTTGTGATGATCATATGATTTTATTACTGCATGGGACTATGTGATCCACATTTCTCATTTTTCTAACAAAGCAACCAAGCTCAAAGAATAGAGGAGAGTTCCACAAGTCACACAGCAGTTTAGACTTTGGGTGACTGAGCTGGGCTCAGCACACTTGCTGGTGACACTCGTCTATCTAGAGTGAATTGGCGGCACCAGGAAGGGTCTTGAAGGGCTGTGCATCCACCAGGAACTTTCCTAGCCAACTATTAGCTGCTTTGCTCCATCAGGTATATCAGTTTGCTTCTTACGTGTCTGTTTCTTTATTGGGTACCTGTAAAATGTGGCTAGCAGTTCTCAGAGCGAACATTGTCATAATTCTCTGAATAGGATTTGATGGGAATTTTAAAACGGACTTTGGTTCTATTCTGAGAAAACTCTCCAGGGAAAAGAAAGCAAGGCCTTGGTGTTGTTGTTGTTGTTGTTGTTGCTGTTGTTGTTGTTACTACCAAGTTATAAGATGCTTAAGCATTGATGGGTGAAGTGGGGTGGGGGAATGAAAGACAGACCAATACAGCAAGAGCAAGCTTGCGCTCTTCCTAAGACCAGTGCCAACCGGGTTACCTGCTAAATTGCCTCCACGTGTCTGATGGAAACCAGTCTCAGACTTGCCACTCAAGCCAAGACACTTTTGCTTTCGGCTCAGATGGGAAGTTAGCATTTAGCTTTTCCCGGGTGCTGTCTAGGAAGGCTGTGTTTTTGGCTGTGCATCAATGCTGTCTCCAGTTCTAAAACGTTATTCTTCTAGGAAAATGTCTCAGTAATCTAGATAGCTACCATGTCTGTTTTTATATGCATTTGAGTAAACTGCTTTGAGTTTCTTGGTCTGGTCTCTTAGTCATGACTGTAGGCTCTTAATATGATTATAGAGGAAGCTATAAAGAACATGAAAAGTAGGCACATAGCTTATCAATACCAAATTATAACATATAGAATAGTGCTTTCTGTGTGTCCAGATTTGATAGACACCCTACAACTTTCATAAGAAAGAGCTATTTCCAACTGATGACACAGAAGACCCAGTGCATATACTGTGGGTATATTCATGGTATTAATATTAATGTGGGAGAGAGTATTCATGAGCTAATGAAGAATGCTTGGTGTTTGCTCTCTTTACGCAGTTGTTAAACAAGGAGAATCAATGACATGATTAGTATGAATTATCTCTGTAGAAATATACTTAGCACAATTCCTTGTCTAGACCTGGAAAATCGGGTTTGTGTGATGGGATGTAGAAGCTACCTGGGATTTGACAATACCAAGATACCAGGGACCACTAAGACGAAATAGAAATGACTTCCAGAGTTCTGTTCATTGGAACAGGCTTTCTTGATAAGTGACAACTTTATCAACTTAAAGTGTCTCGATAAACCAAAGATACATGGGAATATGTGCATATTTCTTAGCAGCTGGTTGCATGTGACTATTATCAGCCTGAGCTTTCTCAAACTTTGACACTGCTTTAGGAAGATGACAAAAGACAGGCCAGCCTAAGGATATTGCTCGCAAAGGAACTTGGGTTCTTTATTTCCTTGCAATAGGATGGAATAGAATCCTATAGGGACATGACCAAAGGCTTCACATTTTATGCCTCCCTTCAGTCACTCCCCAGCATCAGGGCTTGCTCACTCTTCACTTATGATTTTGGTGTGAACCTCCCGGCTCTTCACCCGCAGCTTGTTGACCTGGGACTCAGCGATGTCAGCCCGCTCCTCGGCTTCCTCCAGCTCGTGCTGGATCTTCCGGAATTTGGATAGATTTGTGTTGGACTGTTCCTCCTGAGAATAAAAACAGAATTGTGATAAACCCATGCTGCAATCTTTCTAAGCTCTGTAGTCGGCAGAAGCAGAATTTGGCATCAACAGAGAAGTAAAAATCTTACCCTTTCTGAGATCCTGCTTACCACTGAAATTAATTTTATGATTCGAGATTGGTATCCCAAAATTATGTCATTCCAATTTTGTAACCAAAATATCTTTTTGTAAGGATCTTATTTGTGTGTGTGTGTGTGTGTGTGTGTGTGTGTGTGTGTGTGTGTGTGTGTGTGTGTGTGTGTACGTATGTATGTATGTCGGTCTGTTTTCATTTGTGTATGCAGACACTCTTGATGACCAGAAGAGGGCGTTGGATCTCCCGGAATCTGGAGTTACAGGTTGTTAGCTGCCTGGCATGTGTGCTGGGAACCAAACTCAGATCCTCTAAGAGAAACAAGCACTCTTAATGACTGGACCATCACTTCAGCCCTGACAACCAAAATATCTGAATGGACATGTGCCATGAATAAAGCAAGGAAGAAAAAAAATCAGAGAAGTCAAGAACATAAACAAGGCCAGCTGGTTAATTCTAGCTGTTTGGTGATAATTGTTAACTGAAATTAGTGATTCCTTGTCATATTAAGGATGATTTAATAGTCATTTAAACATTAAAATGTCCATTGAAGTTTACTATAGATTATATCGACACAAAGTGATTATTTCCTCCTGCTTTTGATATAACAGTTATATTGCCAGATCCCTGAATAAGATGTTACATTGTAGGACTTAAGCCTATTTATCCACTGATAGACAATTCCTTCAGTTAAGTGTGGGTTTTAGTGTGGAGTGGGTTTTAGTATTAGTCATGTATCCGTGCTGTGGCTGCAGTCAGGAGTAAGGATGCCTTCATTTCTGCCCGCTGTCCTCCCTTGGACGGGTTTTGGTATGAGGGTTATGCGAGCTTTGTAATGTGAATTGGAATGCTTTGCCTCTTTTCTCCTGCTCTTGAACAGCTTCCACAGCTGGGGATTATCTGTCCCTTGAAATTTTGAAAGACCTATCCAGACCTGGGTCCATTTCAATAGTAATTCCGAAGTGACTCCTTTGCCCGACTTGGTAACTCATGTTCTCCAGAAAAAAAATAATCAGTGTCTTTGTGACCTGAGCTCTTTGAATGGGTTTAATATATTACACTAAAAACACTCCTCTGTGTACAAGGCATGTTTCCCTTTTTATTAGTGACATGCTATTTGCATTTCCTCTCATTTTCTTCATTAAGCTAGCTATAAATGTATTTGTTTTATTAATTCTCCCGAAGTTATCAGGTATTATTAAAATGTCAAATTAGAAAACAGCATACTCAAATCAGTTAATTACTACCTTTATTTTAACAGAACTTCTTGCTTCCATTTGTGTTATGAGTATTAATTTCTAGATTGGATATGAATTTATTCATTTATTTTTATTTTTGATTAATGCTAAAAGCCTACAAAGCAATAAATTAACCCTCTAAACAGCTTTAGCTGTGTTCCATATATTTGTAAAAATCACATCTTCCTTGTAATTTTATTTATAATAAATAATTATCTGGTAATCATGCTTTTCTAATGTCTATGTTAGCCCAAGAGTTATTTTTACTTTTACTTTCTATTTTATGTGTGCAGATATTTTGCCTGAATGTATATCTGTGAACCACTTGTTTGGCTGATGCCTGTGGAGGCCAGAAGAGGGTGTCAGATCCCCTGGAACTGAAGTTGCAGATGGTTATGGGTGCTGGGAATTGAACACAGGTCCCCTGGAAGAGTAGCCAGTCCTCTTCACTGCTGAGCTGTCTCTCCAGCCCCCAAGAATCATTTTTAAGTTTGCTTATTAACAGCTATGTGTCTGGGAATTTCTGCTTATACTTCTTATATCCATATCACTTCATCCAACCATAGCCCTCAAGAACAGCCTTATTATTTCTGTTTTTAATTTGGGGGGATTTCTTTGGAAGTTGGGGTTTTCCCTTAAAATCAAGCTATTGAAACAATAAGCAAAGAAGTACAAAGATGTACAAAGCCCTGAAGTACAGAGTCTGTACAGCAAATGCTTCTTTACTAATGAGGCAGTAAATCAAATTCTTCAGTAGCTTTTCTCAATTCTAGGACTTCACTATTCCCTCTCCTAAGGATACTCCTAAGGATACTCACAGCCTCCTCGGCTTGTCTCTTGTAAGATTTCACTTTTGCCTGGAGTTTATCCACCAAATCCTGAAGTCTGAGAATATTTTTTCGGTCTTCTTCTGTCTGCAAGATTGTTAAGAACCACAAGGCATTACTCCCAAAGCAAGTGCTGTTACTGTGTCTCACACATATCTGAAGGGGGCTTCCTTGCTACTAAGGCCCACTGCCTACCTGGTAAGTGAGCTCCTTCACCCGCCTCTCGTGTTTGCGCAGACCTTTGACGGCCTCCACATTCCGCTTCTGCTCACTCTCAACCTCGCCCTCCAGTTCACGAACCTATAAAAGGGAAAGCTCTGAGGAATT